TCGACCTCCTAAAAGTACCTGCAACTAGAGCCAATTTGCTTCCAAAAACATACACTGGGCATCGAAGCTTACGATCAGAGCATTTTTGCTACAAACATTTTAAAATACCTCAAATAAACGTCTGAAGTTATTAGACTGGACAAAATAAAAATAAAATCGTAACTAATTTTCAAGCCCCCCTCATTGAAAAATCCTTTTCGAACACCACTGTACTTAACTCTAGTTGATCCCGTGTACTTCGTCACCCGTTAAATGTACCAAATCTGTGTGTCTCAAACTTTGTTCGATTCGTGATTTCAGTTCGATTCAGTGTATGGTGTTCAAAATTTATCTTAACTTTTTCGTCGCCCAAAATAATAATAATAATTCTGATTCGCAGCAGTATGTATTGTCAGGTAGACAATCTACCTGCTGTAGATCGCGGACCCCTATTGATGTTTGTACGTAAGTGCACGATTTAACTCCACATATAAAGCATCAAAGTTATACCAAGTTTGTTGTATTCCATCTATGGTGGATTAATATAATCAGTTGATACAAAATCCTAACCGTACTAATATCAGATGAATAAAAAAAAACCAAATTTAACCATTTTTAAATTAGCATGTCTTCTTCCCAGAGGTCTAATCTACACGCAGACATTCATTTATTTGTATACATATTGACAATAGAACAAAATACAAATCAACAAACATGCCCGATTAACCAATAGCAACCAATATACAATACACTATTATTATTTTAATCTGAAACTAATTTTAGATTCTTAGCGGAGCAAGGAAGCTAGTGGTTTTACAATGGTGTTTATTTTTTTTTTTTATATCCTGTATACAAAATTTCTACCAGAAGGAGTGCTTTGATTTCAACATATAGTACCTTATCTTTTAGAAAATTGGACCAAGATGGTACTTTAGAGAGGTCATTTTTCGATTTTCTCAATAGTTATTTAATGCCACGGGAAAAATTACGAAAAATCGCTTAAAATGGGATTTTAATTTCTAACAATTTGTTTATCACCGTAGCAACGAATAAAAAAAAAAATAGGTAGGTATTATCTATATAAATATCATAAATTATTAACATGTATCATTAACTTATGAGTCAGTACCGACTTATCATAGAACCGCGGGTGATTAGGTTTATGGTAGGAAATAGTATAAAATTAATCTAAATATTTAAAAAATGTAAAATGTATATTTATAAAATATACAGACTGACAAACCGTCTCCGTTCAGAATCGTTTTTCTTATACAATGATATTATATCATTGAATTCAAGTTTAATACAATCCATTAAACAATGACCAACTTGTAACCTACTGTACAGCTGAGCGACATCCACTTACCTGCCTTTTTTTATTATTTAATTATTTTTTTTCTGGACAAATGTCGCCACTATTGTATTTTTTTCATCCAGATTTCCTACTTTTCCGGTTGATTTTCCTAAAATTTTCTTTCGTATAAATCTTCTCCTGGAAATTACGAACATCTCAAAAGAAATTTGAGCCAAACCGGAGAAGCCGTTCTCGAGTACAAAATAAAAATAAAACAATAACAATAATACAAATCAACAGACATGCCCGATTAACCAATATACATTACACTATTATTATTTTAATCTGAAACTAATTTTTAGATTCTGAGTGAAACGATGAATGTATTGATTTTACAATGATGTGTGTTTTTTTTTTTATTTTTTTTTTTATTTTTGTGTCTGTCATCACGTTTTAGGACAGTAAAAGTGCTTGGATTTTCTTCATCAGTAGCTTTTCTGATAGGAAAGTGAATCTAGTTGGTACTTTGGGGGGTCAAAAGTATAAATTTCCCAGTAGTTTTCACAAGCGCCGGGAAAAACAACATAAAAATTAAGGAAAAACGGGAATTTTTACGCAAAATTGGTTTTCCAAAAAATCGATTTTGGTTTTTGGTGTAACTCTAAAACAAATGAACGTATATACATGAAATTTTCACTGGTTGTTTATATTTGCATTTTCTATACACGATAACATTTTCAAAATATTTTGATTTATTTTGAACTGTTTAGGGACATTTTCATTTTTCATTTTTTTTTAGTTTTTTTTCTAGAAATATCAATAAAATTTTATTTGTTGGTTGCGAAAGCTTGAAAATTTAATAGAAGGCTCCTAATATGTTGTTTCAAAGGCAGATGAAAAATATTAAAAATCCTTAGTCACAATTTTTTTTTATAAGCACTTAAAGTTCAAAAATTGACAAAATATGGAAAAATCACGAAAATTAGCAAATTATTTTGAGTTAAGAATTCGTAAAAATTTTTCTTTTTAAATCTAAGATTTGAAAATTTAACACAAGATTCCTTATAAGATTATCTACCTTTATCAAAAAAAAAATGTCTATAAGAAAGTCAAATTAAATTTTTATGAGCGTTTGAAATTCAAATTTTTACAACATTGAATATTCACTCGATTTCCCATGTAGCGATTTCCTTAGTTTGTTGTAATTCAAAAACAAATAACTGTAGATACATGAAAATTTCACTGAATGTTTAAATTAGCATTTTCTATACACCATACAATTTTGAAAATATTTTGACTCTTTTTGAGCTGTTTATGGACATTTACAGCTTTCAATTTTTTTTAGTTTTTTTTTCTATAAATATCAATAAAGTTTTATCTGTTGGGCCAAAAAGTGTAAAAATTTAATACAAGGCTCCTGATATACTGTTACAATAGCAGTTGAAAAATATTAAAAATACATAGGCACAGTTTTTTTTTATAAGCATTTAAAGATCAAATTTTGACAAAATTTATCAAAATCTCGAAAATTATCAATCATTGAAATTAATAAATTATAAAATGTTCAGTTTTTATAGCTAAGGATTGCAAATTTAAAACAAAGGTTCTCATAAATAGTTCATACTGTAACCAAAAAATCTAAAAAATATATGAACACAGTTATTTTTTACAGACATTTTAAATTCAAATTTGGACGAAATTACATATTAAAAAACCTAGAATAACTATTTTAGTTATTTTGTTGTGATTGAATAATATTATTCGTGGGTACTTGAAACTTCTAAAGTGTACTATTATATATCTATGATAGTATCACGGTTTTGTTGATGTATAACGCGTTATAAGTACCTAATGGACATTGTGATATGATTAATTTGGAATTTATTATAGGTACCTATTATAGGTCAATTTTTTGTTTAATACCATAGATATGTATATAATATGTCTTAAACATAGACTGACATACCGTCTCCGCTCAGAATCGTTTTTCTTATACAATGATATTATATCGTTGAATTCAAATTTAATATCATCCATTATACAGTGACCCACTTGTAACCTACTGTACAGCAGAGCGACACCCACTTGCCCACCTTTTTTACTATTTAACTATTTTTTTTCTGGACTGCAAATGTCGCCACTATTGTATTTTTTGACATTCAAATTTTCTACTTTTCCGGTGGATTTTCCAAAAATTTTTTTTCGTTTCAATCTTCTCCAGGCAACAATACGAACATCTCAAAAGAAATTTGAGCCAAATCGGTCGGGCCGTTTTCGAGTTTTAGCTAGACAAACCAACAGCAATTCGTTTATATATATATATACTAACTGATCTCGTGCACTTCGTTGCCCATTCTCAAAATGCCAACTCTATATGAATAATATATGTTTTTTTTTATAATTTAACTGTTACCATAACAACAATTTTAAACCAATGGTAACCAATAATTATTATTATTATAGCTTTGAAACCCACGGCAACCATTTATAAATAAAAATTTCCATCGGAAATCTCAAAATCTTTGTTTGAGCACCTGATCCCGGGGTTGGTCCTCTCCCTTTTTAAATTAACATATCTTCTGCACAGATGTCCAATCTATCTATATATATAAAAATATCTGATCCCGTGCACATCATTTCCCGTTAAAATTGCCAACTCTATATGAATAATATGTTTTACATATCACCATTCACCATGGCAACCGTTTATATACAAAACATTCCATCGGAAATTTCAAAATAATATATATATAGATATGGTTGCCATGGTAATATGGACACACACACACACACACACACACACACACATACATTCATTTATATATATATATATATAGAAGATAGTATTGAACTCTTTCAACGTATTCATTAGAGGAAAAACATTCCGTCTGACATTGTACAGTGAAAATTATTGTTCAAAACGCTCGTTTTCAGTACAATATTGTAATTTGTACCACTGTACCACAAAATATACGACGACCTAGAAGGCCAGGGTCAGGTGGGAGGAGGTAAACCGAAAGCTATGGAATAAATACATTTTAACGATATGCGCATGAAAAAAAATGAATGTCAAAATATAACAAAACGGACGTGTTAAACATTTTCGAATTAACATGTTAAAAACGGATTGGTTCTTATCGTTTTACCGAAACGGAAACGCCGAGCGTAGTTTGTTTTTTCCATCTCTTTATTATTAGGTATATGTACATATTATACTATATAGGTATACCAATATATTGTGGTTACACCACCTAAGCCATTATATATTTATGTGAACACGGGACGAGAATGAAAACACACAACAATAGAGAATAAAATCGCCGGATAATCGAAGGTTATACCTATAATTACGCATAATGTGTACGCATTTTGTGTGTGTCGAAAAAATTCGAGCGAACCAAAAACGCGAAGTCGTTCGAGATTTTACATTTAGAGTTGGGTTTTCGAAGCGCAAAAAAATGAATAAATATATATAGTTTTTTTATTTTTTCGTTTTTTACAATAAAATTATAATATTAACATGTACACGCGCAGAGCAGGGACAATTTACAGCAATTTGAAAATTACTTGTCGCCCGGTGAACTGCGCACTCGGTTCCATTCCGTAGCCATTTATTCTTATACGTCGGCGATGATAGTGTTTTAATTTATTTTTTTGTTTTGTTTTGTTTTTGATATTGTTGCTGAACCACAGCGCGTGTCTCTCGTCGGGGGATGTGATTGGGGTCTCATTTTTTCACGAAATCGTTGGCCGTCCTCAGCGGGTAGACTTGCGTGAACGGGTTGTAAGGTTTGTAGAAGTTTTGCTTTATCAAGTTCTGTTGGACGTCCGCTTTCAATATGACCACACCTGTTGACGATCAAACAATAACAAAACAAACTCAACATTATTAACTCGTCAGTATATTATACGTAAATTGTGTCATCATACAGAAGTATGGGTATGATATATATACAGAGTGTCCCACCGAGATCTGACGAATGCTATAACTTTGGCAACACTCAAAATTGTAAAGCTTTTTTTTTCATATATAATTTACAGTCACTCGCGCTACACTTATAAGATACAAACAATTATTTTTATTATTTAATAATTAAAATAAAAAATTTTTAATTTGATTTTAATTTTTTTTGGATAAATTCAAAATAGCCAGTTTGTGAATCTGATTACAAGAACAGTTTTGATCGTAAAAATATTTATATAAGTCAAGTAGTTTATTTTTTAAAATATCTATAATTTTTTGATTAAATTATTTTGGAACGTAATAACTTTTTCAAAAATATTATTTTTGGGTATTTGCTGACATTAGTATATTTCTTAAATTATTTACTAACACATAATACTAACAATTTTTGTGATACTTTTAAGTAGCACATTTTTTTATTTTTTTTTTAGATTTTTCTGTTACACCCTAAATATATAATATATCGTATAAAACTTGGTCAATGTCTTGTTATTATATTGTAAATTGTAATATTGTAATGCTAAATTCATAAATTCTAAACGCTAAAACGTATATTTAGACTTTCTTGTTTGTCGTGAACTTCCAAACGCGTGTGCTGTTCGGGTGTATTTTGAGAGGGTTGAGAGGGAAGGGAGGGTTAAGTACGACCGCGTGGTCGCAGGGGATATTGTCCCCCAAGCAGTGGTATGGACATAACACATGGGGAGCCAACATGTGTACAAAGTATAAGTCATCTCTACTGAAGTCATAATATTATCTACTGGGGACAGTATACAGTATATGAAACAAAAAATATCAATTATTCCATAGTAATTTATCCGAACCCTGAATGAAATATTAATAAAAAATTCTAAAGGCGTATGTGTAAAAACCCGTGGGACAATATAATTGGGTAGCAATAAAATGATATAAATATGTGTGCGATTAAACTGTATTTTATTGAAGCATTTTTTCTCTAAGTCACCGCAGTCGTCCCAGTGTGGACTCTACACCACCGCAAGAGTATGCAGGGTACCTACTACATTGAATTACTACTTGCGACAAACCGAGCTGAAAACCATACAAAGAGAAATATATTTTTATTTTTTTTTTTTCAAACGATGACTCTCCGAATCCATTTTGGAACCGTCCCCAAAACCGAAGACAATGTCATCAATAGAGACAGAGATGGAAACACAGATTCGTGGATAGATGACGTGGCGACGTGCGGTGTGTATTATGTATAGAGGTGGGTGGTATACACCTGACCTGTTCCAGGGGGATACGCAATAATAACTTTGACGTGCGATTTTTATCGGAAAGAATAGCGATTTCCGCGACCGCATTGGTCCTAGATGGTATACGGTCGATAACATAAGAGATACTTCCGAGTATACCTATGTATAGTGAGAGAGAGAGAGAGACTCGTAGTCTATCACGCGTTACAATAATTTTACGTGATTACTCGACGACGACGACGACGACGATAATATCATGTTTTATCATAACACACACACACATATATATATAGCTCTTTTATGGGTATACAATAGAAGTTCGACTACAATATCCTCGGGACCATCTTTGTATACGTGTGGGTGTTAGGTCCCGGTTTGATGGCTCCAAATTGTTTGAAAACGTTGTTTTATTTTCATTTTTCAAATGTTAACAGCAGTTGACAATCGTTCGATCTCTAATATAATAATATGGTATGCTTTATATAGCGTGCTTTTGTACTTGCAGATTGCTGCGATATCGACTTGGTGCGTGTTATACTGCTATAGACGAGAAAAAATTGTACTGACGAATGGCCAATATATAGAAGTCGTCGTTTATTGAGTAGAAAATCGAATCGCATTTGGGTACTCCATAATATTGTGATGTTTATATTTATTTATGGTACCGACGAAATATGTTACCAATATAACTCGATGCGCGCGTAATATAATAGCTGTATACACATTGCGTCTCGTTTTATCAGTCGGTATAAATATACTATATGAGGCAGTAGGCGGTATATTTTTGGTTTTCACGACGAAAATAGTCGTAAAAAATATGACACACAATAGTTTAGTCTTATGACGAGCTTACCGGTGGGATTCACTTTGACCTTGATCTTTGTTTGCGGAGTCAGTACTCCGTAGTCGACGTCTTCGTACAAGTCCTGCGGACGACAAAAATAACAACAATAATAATAATAACAAGAGGGTAGATGCGATTTTAAAAGTGCATTTTACTTGTATTCTATATCCTGTGGGTGACAGCAGACCCATTTCGTGCAACGCCACTGCCACGTCGGACGGCGTACCGTCAGTCCTGCGGTTGACGAAGGCGAGTGCGTAAGAGAAGTAGTTTTCGAAAATCGGGGTTACCGGTCTAGCCCATATTTCGATTCCTTTGTGCTGCAAAATGATAACAATCGTTGATATAAATTATGTGTCGTTTAAAAGTCGACAACCCCCATTTGTGTAGGTACTTAAATTACTAGCTGTATTGTGCAAAACCCGTGGGTAATTTATCCGTCAATAAATGTATACTATTGAAACAAATTCGGTGGACTACCACCACATTGTTTAATAATAATAATAATATGTTCAATCGGGCGACATTTAGTGACGATACATAAAACATATTAATATCATACACCTTTTTATATTTTACTGAACTTTTGGTTTTCGGCCGTTTTATTACGTAGGTACTAAAGGTGTTGGATAATAATATAATTATTCACTTTCATCGAAATCATTAATGCGTGTACTTATATATTATTATATACAATTTTATTATGAAATATATTATATTGAGTATGTCGTATTATATACAGTAATAGATAAAAATTATAGTAATCAATTTTGTTAATGTGATTTTGTGACCAAATTTAAAATCATTACTTCCTATAGTACTCTGTGCTGAGTAAAAACGTTTCATCAGATAATTAATTGAAAAATTTTAGTTGATGAAATAATTAAATTGTATATATAGGTATATAGTTGGTATATTTATAATATAATATGTAGGTACCTACTATATTTTTGAGTTCATTTGTACATTTGTGCAAAAATGCTTTTTTGTCGTTATTTAAATTAAAATTAAAACAAATACAATATAATGTCTAATGAATATTTAACAGCAAGGTAAAAATGTCAATTTTTTTTCTACACTTGGTAAAAGTCGTTTTTTTTTCTCGTTCTAACTTCATTAAGTATACATCTTAATATTTTGTTTCATTAAAATTCTACAAGCAATTGTTTTATTATTTATGCGCGCCAAACTCGAGTAAATTTACTGTGTTGTATATTTAAAAGTATTAATATATTATAAATAAAATTATTATCTTCCCAGAAAACTTAACGGAAAAATATTTATTTGATTTAAATATTAATAATAACAGATGAAATACGTACCTACTTATTAATTTTGGTATTTTAAAAACTCAAGTCGTGGGTATTGGCGAGTATAATTTTATTGTTTATTTAATTTTTAGGGAAGTGAAATTTAGAACATTTTTTATAGGCTTTCACCTCGTGGTCGAAATATAATATACGATTCCGTGAGAAAAGCCGTTTTTACGATGTAAACAAACACACTCATACATAATACCATCTAAATATATGTTTTACATTGTAAATATATGTTACGCCACATGTGTAGTTTAATACGCGGACGTTATAAATAATATTATAATTATAAGTATACAATATACATTGCGCAATCGCTGATGAGTTTATAAGTAAATGATATATAACAAAATATACCGTAGGTAGGTATTTTTTTTCAAAAACACAAAACGTCGTTTTCCCTTTTGAACTGTGGGTTCACAGAATATGTTATCAAACAAACGAATTGCGCGTATAGGTAGGCATGGGAAAAAATGTGTGTACTGACCTTGTAAATCCTGCGGCCCTGGATTCCCAATTTATCTTGGTCGACGGCTATGATTTTTTTGTTTTGTAAAATCGCCTTGTACTCGGGTCTGATGGTCCTCAAGTCGGTTGACATGAGCAGTGGGGCGGCGAGTATGGCCCATATAGCCATCTGCACCTTACTCTGTTCGTAGCTCAGACCAAAGTTTCCAATGATCAGCTGCAAAAACACGACGGACGACATTATAGTTTGTTTTGTTTTTTTTTTAAGAATTGACGAGGACTACTCATAGGGGTGGCCCATCTGTACCTCAATCCAGTCTCAGTTCGACAAATTATTTTTAGTTGAATATATTATGATAACAGTGAAATTCTATTCTTTTCCGAAAATCTACTATTCCGAGTGTAAAAAAGAAGCAAATTAAAAAGTTAAAATTGATTGATACACATTTCGAAATATAGTAATGTACCTATTGTATTTGCTAGACTGTATAGCCCCCCCTCTGTACATTAAATCCTATACTTAAATGCGCAAGTTCGTCTTTGGTAAAAAATACTGTGTATAATATTCGGACCTTTTAATAATACACATTAATTTATGAAAATTAAAATCAAACAGTACCATGTCCGGATCGTTCCAGTGCCCTGGGGCTGCGTTAGCCGCGATGACGTCTTGGTTGTCGCCGTAGTAATCAATTATGCTTTCCACACTAGCCCATGAGTCTTGGATGTCGTCGAAGTTTCTCCACAGGTTACACCTCGAAGTGATAGCCGAATAGTTGGGCTATACACGCGATAAACAAATAATAATGACAGTTAATTTAATATTTTGCTGTCGTAAAGGTTATTATTCTACAGCTGCTATAGAACATCATTAGCATAATTCAATATTTGTTCTGGACAATTCTATTTAACTATAGACATCTGGAGCACAGTTATAAAGAATCATACAGTAACCTTGGACATAAATTATACGATTGACCACTTTATTATAAATACATGATGAATGCGTTTATTATTCGTTTAGTACAAATGAAGTATTAATAATATTAGATATTAAAAATTACGTATTTTACTATAGATACCTATAACAATAAAACATTGTACGAAAAGGAAGTAAAAAAAAAGCTCCAAGGGATCGGTCCCAATCAACCCTTCCTTAATTTCGTCCCTGTATAATATCATCGTTTTGGTTATCGAAAACCGTAGCGCCATCTACGGAAGACTTTCAACTTTTGGCGAATACCTCTCTCGTGTATATAGAGGGCGGATAACGCACCGGAAAATGATTCGAATTGTCACGAAACTCAATGGATTTACTATGCAAATTAAAATATAATATTATGGGATATATTCGTCATTAGTTATAACTTATTATGGACGATTAATTTATAATATTTAATATAATTTATATACAAAATGAGGTTGTTGGAAACAGTAAAATTAACTATCTACCTAGTGGCTACAAAAAATGTACCCAAGATTGCAAGAAAGACTTGCGACGAAAATGCGTTTACATGAATAAAAGTAACTACATAAAATTATCATATAAATATTTGGCAATAATAATAATAAGACGCCCGTGGTTTAAAGTTGTAAGATTTATCGAAAAAATAAAATGTTTGTGTATTTGTGTGGGGTAGTGAGCACATGACCTGACATTTGAGTGCATCATAATCATTAATTTAAACTCACAATACTGTTATTATATACTTGGGACTTGGTAATAGGTATGAATAATTATTTTAATTCTTGTTTTCCTAACGTTATAAGTCTTAAGAGTCAAGACCTGTAGCTGCTGTCGCACGCAGCTCGACATAAACGAAATAGAAATTTTAAATTAAAATGCACAATGCCTGTCTGTTACACGCAGTTTGCGGACAACTCGAACGATCTCGATATTCGATCACGATTCACGAGTTGATAAAAATGTCTAAATACTATTGAAAGTAAAATGTTCGATCGCATATTATATTATTATACAGCGTGTACGACGTGGTATAGTAGGGTACCTATGATCTCTGGGCCAAAAATAATTGTACAAGTAATTTATTACATAGAATGCGCGAGAATGTCTTACATATTTCGATATCTATGAAAAAATAATGTGACGTGTTTCGATACTTGTGCTCAAATATTAATTTTACAGAAACTATCGGTTCGATAAGACTGTTTTCTATTTCCTATCTGCAGGTAGCGTGCTGCACGTCACTGCAGCCCGAACTATGAACACATACCTTCACGCGGATATTATATTACGTTTCGTTTGCAGAAGAAGGATGGTGCATATCATAACGACAGTGATATGAATTACGAGGTCTAGTTTGATTCCGATTCGACGTCACATAATAATATTATCATGCGCAAAAATGTCCAAGTAAATAATATATATTATGGCTAAGGGTGTAGTGTAATATGCAGTCATATCATATTATATATAGGTAGGTATAATAACGCAGACATGCGACGGGCGACAGTCCAAACGAAATTACATAAACGCACCACGCCTGGCACTGTGTTATTATGTACAACAAACAGACTGCACGTTATAATAATATGTAATGATAATCGTAATAATGATTTTTGTGCGTTTTGCATACTAGACAACTCTCGTCGTCCGGGGGCCCTGTATACCGCGCGATTTCAGACGATTTTCACGGTTACCCAACTTATTCATAACAATATTATATGTATACACCTATACGATATATATATACATAATATTATATACCTACAAAATAAATATATAACACAGAAATGGCTCGAATGCACTTTCTATATAATATTATGTGGACGAGTGTCGACGAGTATTTACCGCTCGGAGGCCGGGCGGTGGTCGTTATTCGTATATCGACCGTCGTCCCCCCCAACCACCTGCCGAGTGCGCGGCGGACACCCGGAGGGATACGACAAATAAAATAATAACGATATTATTATTATTATATATGTGTGCTGTGTGTTGCCGGAAAGAACAAGTAAAAACTGCTATAGTGTGATTACGGACTATTATATTATTATATGACACGCGGACGATAGTTGGCGTATATTATCGTAATGAACCGCCGCCAGTCACACGAAATAATCGTAGTCTCCCCTTGTCAACTACACTACTGCCGTCGTCGTCGTCGAACTACGATCATAAATATTAAAGAATAATAAATAATAGAAGTATATTATATTGTGATCCGCCCGTCCGCTGTTGTAACTCGTCATAATAATAGTTAATTGTAATTAACGATATCGTCGTAACTCTTTAAAAATATTATAACACTAGCGGTCTCTGTATGGTCGTCGTAAATAATTATCGTATCAACAATTTGTCACGCACGCCCCTCCATGAATATAGGTAGTATAGGCGTGGGACGTGGGTGCATAACATAAATACATAATATAATTTTATTAAAATATACCTATGTGGCCATGTACGACAACTACAGTCAACAGGTGTTGCCTGTAAATACAGTTTGGTAGGCACATTGAATTTTTTCGGAAAAACGCAATTTTCTTGGCATTTCACAAAATATCAAAAGTATAACATCCTCAACATCCAGATTCTACGTCAAGTTTTTTATAAATTATAATTATTATGCGATCTAGTGTGATCGGTGAAAAAAAATGAAAATATTTTCACTCGATTCCTGACTATGAATGGCCACTTATTATGTTATAATTTTATGATGTCTAATATCGTATTATGGTTGCTACTCACTTGTAATCCAGCGTAGGTCTGATAAACCGGCCAACTGCACGAGTACACCATGGCCCTGCCAGTTTTGTTCAGGTGGTAGCCGAATTCACTATAACCTGTAAGGGACGAAAATATAAAACACGTGTAAAAAAGAACAAAGTATCTGACATCTGCTATCGTAGGACAGAGTCATATCAGAATCTCGGCCAAAGGGGAATAATATATACTTCAATACAACTCTTGACACGGAGGGATCCACCTCGGCCCTCTTCGTCACACATCAATTGACTTGTTACATTTATTTTATATTTTTGTCTAACGTTAGTTTGACATTTTTTTTTAGAATGCATAAAATTATAACTACATTAAAAAAAAACATAATCCCTAAGATGGAATCTACCCTGTGGTTATCCCCCAAAAATACGCCTGCACGTCGTAAGATGATATATATCAGGATTCAGGGGTCACCAAATGGCGGCCCGCAGACAAGTAAAAAATCCAATAATAATATACGTTCTAGTGTCGTAAGTTTATCGTTTTTGTTCATTAATTTTTACAAATTTTAGCAATATTTTGATGGCCGAGATCAATTTCCAGATTTCTAATGTGGCTCTTAAAAAAAATATTATATTTGGTGACCCATATATAACCCAATTTTATTGCACTCGTATTCATTACAATAACAATTATTGTTATATAATTTCCATCATCATTGTGCTTACGTACCTTGATCCATGTCTTTGGGCAGTGAGTAACAGCCGTCCAGTTTGACGAAATCCACGTTCCATTCAGCGAACGTGAATGCATCCACCTCGAGAGATCCCAAGATTCCAGGGTAGCCAGCACACGTGAAGTTACCGTAATCTTCGTAGATGCCGAACTTCAGTCCTCGAGAATGGATCTATACAAACAAGAGCGAAAAGATATTATTATATATTATATTATATCGTCGCAAAGGTGTTTAGAACGATTGCAGATTTGGCGCCCCTCCCCACCAAAAAACCCTTATCAATGTCTGTTTTGAATATTTTTTCATATTATTATTATTATAATTGTTATAGCGATTGCGTTAAAATCGAATAAACATTAAACTCGAGACAGTTGTAGGTGTGTATTGTATCTACGTAACATCACCGAAATCCGAAACGCAATAAATCGATGATATTGAAAGACTTGACATCGTTTAAGTCTTTATAATAAATACGTTTTACGCGTTTTTTGAAAGTCGCTGCTCTATTATTGTCATTGAATATAATGTACAGCAATTATGTGGATAGGTACTCAAAGTTTTGTTTGTTTTGTGTTCAAAATAAACAGATCTCGCCTGTTCTAAAACAATACTGTTGGGCACTGGCATATTGTGTTTTTATAAGAACCATAATAACAATATGCTTAGTTACTATGTATATAAGTATTTATTTTACTATAATATACTCTAACGTGCTTTTTACTCATTAGCTATATTCTGTATATTATTACGTGTAGGCATAATAATAACATAATACAAAACAGTTTTCAAAGAAATCAAAAATATTGAGATGCGTAATATGACGTGTGTGTGAACTGTTGTGTGGTAAACTGAGAACATTAAAAATTCATTAAGTATGACGAAACTTTCACCCAAATCATTGTCATGAACATTATCTGTAATGCGGAATTTTATTGATATTGCACATCACGTATTAAATGTGAGGGGGTGGGGCGTGGGGTCTTCGTCGACCTAAAATAGAGCACTATACTACAAATAAAGCACCTATAATGTGAATCATATAAATTACGAGTATATAATAATGTAATGAGTTGTATACTACTGGCCATAAAAGACTTTCGTTTCGTTGCTCACAATGGTACTGATATAAATGTCCTGCAGTACAGTATAATATGCTTCATTAATGCATATATACATAACTAGTACATACATGTAGCACTTAAATCCTAATACATAATATGCAGGGTGTCTCGCCGAATATGACTAGCACTGCACCCGCCCACCCATAGTGTAAAGTTTACACTGGAAACCTACTCCTCGACCATGGTAGATCCGCATGCAGCCTCCTGCAGCTGAGACTTTAAGTCTTAGATAACTATTTGAATACTTGGCAGTTAAAGGAATAAGTAATCAAACTTTTGAAATACTTGTTTCATTTGTCATAGCTATCACAATTGTTCAGCAGCAATAGAAAACAGTGATACAAATATTTTATATAATTATTATAATATGTTGTATTTATAATCGGGACTATAATACAGTCAGAAATATTAAGTGTAGTAAAAAGTTATATTAACAAGGACAATCGCAATTTGGCACATTGTCTATGTTACTTTATTATACTTTGTATTTATGTAATATTAGGTAGGTGTGTATTTAATATATTTTAGGATTTAGGTTGCTACTGATCGCTGCAAACTGAGTACCTAGTGTAATCATCCAAATTATACTGAGCCCAAAGTCCTTTAAATAGAATAAATAATAGATTATGAGTAAGACATAAGTACCAAGTATGGAAACTCCGGACGAATACCCTAATAATATTTACTATAGTGCACTGACAAATGAGATGAGTTGTGTTATTTGTATTTTTTAATATTTAGTGTATAACAAACACTTTCACGGCTACGTGATGGCATAAAACATTATTGTTTTTATTATGGACATCATCGTCTATTATAATATAGTCTAGATTTCGATGCAAGGTAGAATGTATATTATTATGGAGAATTAGTTTAGAAAATAAAGAGGTTTAAGTCTTTAGAAATTACGTTAAGGTTCACTTGGCAACATATAGCTACTCTACCTAGTTAGTTAGTTATCGGACACCGTAGATTTAAGTCATTAGTGATTTTGAAATCGTAATTTACCTGCGAATCACGTCAATTATTCATCATTATAAACATATAGGTATTGAATAACTCCTGTTAAAGTTAAAATAACTATCATAATAATACTATGTAACGATTGATCTCTCATATTAAATAATTATTAATAGTATATATCATTATATATCTAATAAACACTTAAACGCTTTCCAAACTGGGTTACTAAACTCGAGATGATTATTTGTTTTGTTTTTTTCTAACCGACAACCATTGTTAAGAATTTAAGACGCATTATGTACCTATATTTATGTACACCCATTGACCCAGATGACCTGATGAAATAATTTAAGTGTTAAATTGTCTTTATCTACTATCTGTGTTCTGTGTAATTATCATAAGAATGCAAGTTGATTTTAACGAGTTCGTGTTTTCATAACAGTCTCTGTGTATAATATAATATTTACTAATGATTATTAATATTTTTATCACTATTGCGCATTTATAAACAACGCACGAGATAAACCTATACACAACGGGGCATGAAGAGCGTCGAGACCATTATTATAGTATTATAATGAAACAGACATTATAATAATAATATGTAAACGGGTTCTGTTATAACATAATTCGATAGACTTTCATGACAATTTAATAAATACAAAAGTCGAAAGTCGATGAGATAGTTATTATATTATAGTAGATTATCATTAGCCAGATAGGTTTAAATGTGAAGCAACTGAGCTTGTCAAATGTTAAGGGGTTCACGGCTAAAAGCGTTTTAAAAGTTATAATCGTAAAGCAATGAGAGAGAGAGAGAGGGGGGGGGGGGGGTTTCGCGAGTTGGTGTTTTGAAAAGTGATTAAAAAGTTGTGTAGATTTTTAAATATTTTATTCGCTCAATATTATATTACTCGGTGACAATATTATATAGTGCTTTCGGAAGACGCAGCTGAGACGAACCACCTGTCCCGACTCCGGTACGAGACGTTGTGTAAATTATATTACGCGAGTGCAACGAAATCGAGTACAGAAAATTAAAGTTCACGACCATTATATATTCATCAATTATTAGTGTAAGACTGTATATAATACTATAATAACATGGTCGGGCACTCGAAGGAAAGATAATAAGCACGCGCAATCCGTTTTTCTGCCACGAATGTAATATCTTGTAAATTATAATATAATATTTTTGTATTATGCAGGAGACCATTATTAATTTAATACCGATTAATACTGCAATATTCGGATATAAGCGTGTTGCACACAATAATGTTGTGAATCGTGTGATATCGGAATTTTGAATTTTGTGAAACCAAGACTATGTGCAGCGACGAAAGTAGGTATATGCTGTTACAAAATTATGATAATATGTTACATACTGAAGCCTGTGCAGGTGATTTAAAATTGTTTACGAACTAATCTAATCCATCTACATTCGAACACAGCTGATAATATCAAACGAAATTATAATATTAATATCTAAAGACAGCATAGAGTGCGAGTCTAGCGGTCTCGTCCCGACCATAATATATTTGTTTGAAATTAATAACGTAAGTCACATTTTTGTTTTTTTTAATAGACATTCCTCACAATTCTCGCCATCATATTATATTATGTTTATATGGGCAAATGGCCGTAGCCCGTCCGCCGCACAGTGTTATTATATAAGTCGTAAGTGGCATGCCCAAACATAATTTATTTATCTTATAATATTATACATTTGTACGTATTGTGTTCACATTTTATATCATTTAAACGTTACCTCTAGTACCTACTCGTCGTGCTCTTGTCGTGAATGTGGTCCAGCACACTGTTATACTGCACCTGCACCTGCAGTCTTATTACTATCACTATTATTATTGTTATTGTTATTACTATTAAGCATTGTGATTAATATAATGGTCGTTGAGCAACGCGGAGCGTAAAAAGATTACTGTGACGACGGTGTTATATGAACGAAAAATTGTGATTACTGCAGTTTTTTAGTTTGCACAATATTCATCAATAATTACTGCAAAATGTGGGTAATAATTAATATACGAAGTTTATATCGGCTAAATGTTCGATTTACGTGCGTCGTTTAGGCGTCACTATTACTTTACCCAATGTATATATTATTATATTATAAGCAGATAACTATGCAGATGTCTTATTATTACGTATAATATTATTGTAGTGTATAATATAGTACGAGACTGACACAAATTGTTGGCATTAATCGTTAAAAAGATTGCATAAATATTTCGAATAAGATGTACCTTGCCAACGCACATCACACGTCCTGTCGTCGTAACAGTTTTTTTTTTTCTCCAAATTAGTCGCATCATTGTCACGCCCTGGTTAAAATCATTTTTTTTTTTTTTTTGTTTCTTATTGTTAATAATTTTTTTTTTTTTTTTCCGTCGAAAATTGACATTCCCCATTGTTTTATAACATATATATATATATATATAATTTATATTTATATATATTTACACAATGTGTTCGAGCAGCGTAATTTGGTTTTCAAACCACCTATTTTATACATACACATCATGGTCGGTAATTTCTGCACTAGATAGAACGACATCGTCTTGAGTAACTTATACATATCATTATAACATGTAATGTACAAAAATAATATACACACAAAACTCAATTAATAAGGGCGAACGAGAGCTAAATCGGTGTTATATTATATTAATAATTCAACGTGCAGGACATTGAGAAACACAATAAATTTAATGGAATTTTTTTCTTCTCCGGCTCGTTCCATTCGTGCGTTAACGTTCCAAATATTATGCAAGACAATATTATTCTATAATAACGTTAATGTATACACATAATTTATAAATTAGATAATATTATTAAAAACACCCGCAGAATAATTTGTTTCTACTCGTAGGTATATGGTGAACCGTTAAACACGTTTTTTTTATTAAAGTGGTATAATTATGAGAAAAGCGATCGAGCCGTTAAAAGAATCATAATTAATAAGAATAAGAATGTAACATACTTGTACTTATTAGCTATTAAAATAATCGTCAGACCACTCAGAAGTATTCACGTCGTACGGAGTGAAACATTTCAAAAAAACATAAACCAGCTGCATAATATTATTATTATCGTAACCTAAATCCTAAATAACATCGCTGCACAGACATTACTGAAACCGTTCAATTTGATCGTTTCAATTTTTAACCGAATAACATGTGACACAACACAGTATTAAGCCATCGCAGGACGTTATGACGTTTTAATATTATTAAATCTCAAATTTTTTTTGCACAAAACGATTTATTTATATTATCTACAAATAAGTATGACTCGCTATAGGCCGATTCTCAAATCTAAACTGTCAATACACACAAAGTCCACATTGTACAAATCTCTTCTCAGACCCATTTGGGCGTACGGTATGCAAATCTGCAGGGGGTGTGCCAAACCTTCTCAAGTCCGCACTATCCAAGCTTTCCAGTCCATCACTCTCCGGCTAATAGCCTCGCGGCCCCTTGGTACGTAACAAATGAAACCCTGCACAAAGACCTAAGAATTCCAACAGTTGACCAACTAGCTAAACATTGTATTGTAACAGATTTCATTCTAAACTGCAACACGACCATCCCAATCCTTTAGTCACTCACCTAGCATCACGTACTCTTCCCGACAACCCACCGCGCTGACTCAAAGGAAATTGGTGCCGTGATCTATTAAATTAATTAATAACAAATAAATAAATTACTAGAGGGTACCATCGCTGGATGTTTTCCCTCATCTTATGTTTCATGTTTTTTTTATATATACAGTGTGTAAACGGTAATCGAGAACACTCAATATCTTTGCGTAGAGACCAGCTATTTGAATTCCGTTTTTTTGGCAGTTGTTATGTCATAAAAACACACATTTTTATGGTCTGAATTTTTTTTACTTACCTAGTCACGCGCATGCGCATGTCAACTTTTTTTTTTTAAATGGCAACCCCCTGCTTTAACCACTTATTATTTTTTGCCTATTTTTTTAATGAATTTTGGTAGTTGAATCAACTTTCTAAGTCAAAAATTGACCAAGTTACAGCCACTCAAAAAAAAAAAAATTAGAAAAAAAAATGCGCTCGAATTTCAGATTTTTGATTGTAACTCTGAAAATAATTTTTTTAGGATTGTTAAACATTGACATTTTTGTAACAATTTATTACGGTGATATTCAAAGAAATAAACAACATACTAATTTACGTTTTTTCAGCTATAATAAGTTATATGATTTATTACACAAATTAAAGAGAAAATTATTCAGTAATTGAAGTTAAAATAACGTATGAATATCACCGTAATAAATAGTTACAAAAATGTCAATGTTTAACAATCCTCAAATAATTATTTTCAGAGTTACAATCAAAAATCTGAAATTCGAGAGCATTTTTTTTCTAATTTTTTTTTTTTTTTCTGATTGGCTGTAACTTGGTCAATTTTGGACTTAGAAAGTTGATTCAACTACCATAATTCATTAAAAAAATAGGCAAAAAATAATTAGTGGTTAAAGCAGGGGGTTGCCATTTAAAAAAAAAAAAGTTGACATGCGCATGCGCGTGACTAGTTAAGTAAAAAAAATTCAAAGACCATAAAAATGTGTATTTTTATGTCATAACAACTGCCAAAAAAACGGAATTCAAATAGCAGGTCTCTACGCAAAGATATTGAGTGTTCTCGATTACCGTTTACACACTGTATATGTATACCTATAGTGTTATATCTGTTATCAATTCTGCTTATTGTGTAATATTATATAGCTTGTAGATTTTCTAAATTAATAAAAAAAAAAAAAAGATATGACTCGTGTACAATTTTTAATGGCATAGTACCTATATTAGTATTACTATAAATAAGTACCCGTACGGTACAATCATAATAATTATAGTCTGTAAAAAAATAATGAATGCGGCGGTGAGCTATTGAACTTTAGAAGGTTATTAATGATTTATAATAATATTATGTTTATATTATAATATCTGATATAATATTTATACTTTTCCATATAGGACGTACTCGTACTGGTAATCTTGATTTGTAGGCGTACATATGATTATGGAAAAAACCTTTATTACATATTATTTTATTGCGCACAAACCGTCAATTATCGCCATTTAATAGAATATTAAAGTCGGAGTATATATAGGTAGGTAGGTACTCACGTATTCGGATAGGTCGGCCATTCCTCTGGGGAACCGTTTGGCGTCGGGCTGCAGTCTACCATCGTACGACCTTGCAAAGTCCAACCAACAGTCGTCCACGTTTATGTACTCGTAACCGGCAGCAGCGTACCCTTCGGATATCACAAGGTCCGTCATGGTCCTAAAGAGTTTCTCGCTGAACACAAAACAGACAATGACAGTATTATTATTATGAGACACGTGACTACGAATCATTTATTGTTATATTTTATCGTAACGACATTACGAAACTACAATAATATATATCATAACAACGGGCACGCGTTAACAGTAAGTATAATGCTTCTTGTACATCTAAGAAGTCTTTCTTCTAAGGCGGGCGCATTAACTTGTTAAAAAAATTTAAGTTGAGTTTAAAAGTTAATTTTTTTTAACTCGACTAGGTAGTTGACTATTTTTGTTTTTAACTTACTATTCAGTCACAATTTCGAATTGTTGTAAATAAACTTTTTATAGTTAATTATCATTGTCGTGCGCAGTTAAATAAATTTTCTTTTCGAGTCATGCGCAATCAACTAGACAATACCGATTCGTTGACTCTTTCATTCGATTTTGGTCATTTATTTTCAAATTATATATTATAATAATCTAATTGTTTAAACAGTGTTAAACGTCTTGGGTAAATGTTTGTGTACAACAAAATACTACATATAACGGTTTATGACTTAAAAATATCGTACCTTCAAAAAAATTAACTTTTTTTTAACTGAGATAAGTTAATTTTATTTTCTATCTTAACTTTAAACTTATCCAGTCAAATTTTTTCCTTTGTTCACTTTTAACTTAACCGAAGGCAATTTAATTGACCACAATTGCCACAGTTAATTATTTTCATTGACTATTGCCCACCCATTGCTTACTGCTGCTGTACACATAATATTTTTGGTGAAAAACTATTTTCGGTATAGCATAATCTACAAGTGTGCTTGAAATATTTCGAAAACCTTATAATATTATGTACATCGTTTCTACAGTCTCTTCAAGGTTTTCGTTATTTTCAGATACATTCTGTACACGAACTAGACGAACTCTATGAGTACAATTGCCTTCGAGTAATTATTGAACGAATTAACTTTTTAACATATATTATAGATTCTTCGATGAGATTATTTTCTAGGTGAGTATTAATTATATCGGCAACAACGCTCGTGATAAAATATACGTACAATATAATATATAATATAATTATAATGGCGTAGACAATGAAGTTAATTCTACTATTTACCTACATCTATAATTACGCGGACAACCTTACTATTGTGTACACTTTAACGTCGTATACAACATATAAATAATAACACCTTATGTTCTGGGTCGTCTCGATGGAATTGATTCATAATTTTTCCGAGTTCACAGTCTCGTAATAATTTGATTTTAGATAATAACCGAGCAATCTTTGTGACGTTTTAAGTTTCAACACTCGATCGACAAAATAGCAAGCTTGATGTACTCGGCGGGAAAAGTCGTATAGATAATATAATATATATATATATATCATACGCTATTTTATAGATCTTTAAGTTCCGACTTGATAGAGTTTAATGGCGTCATTTGCGCCGACTTGGTCCCACAAGATTATATACTATAAATAAATATGATCAATAATCCGTCACCAGTTTTGCACTGGAGTGGTAATTGGTTTCCCTAAAACGGCAATGCACGCCACGTAGATTATATTATTATATACCTAATATATATATATATAAAGCACAGTGGAGATTGATTATTCGTAGTTTATTTCGAATTACTTCCGTATGACCGTTTTCTGTCGGCCAGGCCTGCAGGAATTCCGTCGTATTCATTATTGGATCAATTTAAAACGTCACAGTGGAAATGAGCCATATTATTTATTAAGCCAACGACGTTTGTGTATCCACAAGACAAAATTCAATTTCGTAAAATTAATAGTTAATAGACGGTGTCGGAGGGAAAATTTTGGAGCGGATTAATAATAATAATAATAATAATATAAATAACGATAAATAAACAGTGCAGTGCACATACCACCTACTCGGACAAATAAATTGTGTAACAATATAACTTTTAAACAATAATTCAATGAACAATATAAAGAGGACGAGAAACTTTTTTCATTATACGAGTGGACGAGACTACAAATTACTAACTGCATTCGAAAATATAAAATAATAATAATGATAATATTTTAATAATATCGTTATTTTTCGATAAACATATTTTCGTCGTCGATGAAATCAAGTGGCAATAGCTAGTACGAGTGTCAACTATGCCACTGCTCCGTGGTGTGTCTGGCGTTTCCGTAGGATGCGATATAGAAAATTAATCTAGCTTGACCTAGAATCATAATAGCAAGCCATAATAATAATGATTTCGATAATATTGTGATCTCATACCATTTTCCCGTCGCTGTAACAATAATCGACAAGGAGGACACACGAGTGTCGTTGTTGTTATTATAATCATTTTATAAGAGAATACCGACACTTTGTCGTCTGTGAGCGTTATATATTTATCCAGTTCGGTTCAAGGTCTGAGTTCGGCCCTACGAAGCGATTAAGTGCTACATAATAGGAGCCCGCCACGGTGCGTTCTTTCGATGCCCTTTTCGTGTCCGCAAAAAAAAAACAACAACGAAAAATCTGTCTGTTTTCTTCGAATGCTGCTGCAGGAAAATAGAGTTCAACCGGCCGCGGCGTGTGGTACCGAATCGTGACTGCAGTGCTTAATACTAGATATCTATATAGATATGTATTTTTGTTTTTTTTTTTTTTTGCCTAATTCCGATCGATGAGGTTTTCGTCCAAAATGATCATTACGGCGGAACATACGCGTAAAACCTGAACGCGTACAATTGAAACAAAAAAAAAAAAAAAAACTATTCCAAATCGAAGAGGAGTTCCCCGGACTGTATCGTATAATATTGGCATCTTATGTACAGGAGGGTATAATAGGACTATATAGGTAACGTATATTATCATGTTTATTGTGTTCCGAATTTCGCAGTTGGTTTGAAATTTGTCGCTATCGGAAATGGCAAGCCTTTAAGAGGATGTCAGCACACTATTTGTTTTCTCACTCTGACCCACACACAACATAGACAAAACGAATTTACGCAGAAACATTTTTTCTATGTTTTTAAGTAATCTTAGAGAAAAATCACCCATTACAAAAAATATAGAGAATAATATTTTTGAGGGAATCTCATATCGATTTTATATTTTATTATTATTTGACTTTGTATTCTACTTTCAAAATAAACAAAAAAAATGTTGTACATTAAAATGATGTTTAAATTGTTTTGAGACAATATTTAGACAAATCGATATGACATTCCCTCAAAAATATTATTCTCTATCTTTTTTGTAATGGGTGATTTTACTCTAAGATTACTTAAAAACACAGAAAAAATGTTTCTACGTAAATTCGTTTTGTCTATGTTGCGTGTGGGTCAGAGTGAGAAAACAAATAGTGCGCTGACATCCTCTTAAGTACCTTTAAATAACTGCAGACGGTGACTCTGGATTTTTGATTACGCGTAAGACCTGAACGCGTACAATTGAAAAAAAAAAAAAAAAAACTATTCCAAATCGAAGAGGAGTTCCCCGGACTATATCGTAATATTGGCATCCTATGTACAGCAGGTGGGTATAATAGGACTATATAGGTAACGTATATTATCATGTTTATTGTGTTCCGAATTTCGCATTTGGACTGCAGTTGGTTTGAAATTTGTCGCTATCGGAAATGGTTTAAATAACTAACTGTGACTCTCGACGACGTGATTTTTGATTTATCATACAGTAACGTGAAAAATGTTATCACGACCTGTCCACTATTGCAGCAGTCTATTGCGCGGACGCACTCCTTAAAAATACTTGGAATCAAAGTTATCATGAGGCATAATGACGACCGACCGTGTAAATCGTCCACCTCGTTGAAAATGTGACCATCCCGCCGGATACCGAGGGCCCTTTCTCGGCTCATCCGAATTGAGTCACCGAAATAATTTTATTGTACATTTCAAAACTCATCATCAATGACCGTTGCATTTTTTTCATTTTGAAGTCGAATCATAAAATATAATATCGTTTAAAGGCTCCAAGTAATATATATATATATATATATATCGCTTTCTGCTCCACACGGTAACTCTGAACTCGCGATTAATCGTGTAAAATGGCGCGCATATACCCATATAAACGGTTTAAGGGGGCGAACTGTAGAACGTATACATATATAACACATAATATACATGCTTATCGTGTCCAATATTACAATGTACATAAATCTATATACAGTATAGGTACCTACATACCAACCCACGCACGTTTTTGTCGTGATCTCTTTTTTTCTACTCAAAATCGTGACGTCGAACCGGTCGATGTGTTATTATTATTTGTTACGTATACGCGGCGAACTCTCAGAGATACCTATATAAATAATTATAGATATTTTCGCCATATCGGTAAGCTACGGGAGGGATACAATATATCTTATAGGTAGGTTCACAGCTGCAATACCTGCAGTTTTCTGGGCCAGATCGTACGGCAGAACAATCGATTCCCCGCGTTTATATCGTATACATAACAACACATAATACCTACCTATATATATATAGATCGCAGCCTCTCGGTGCGTTGCGTAACCGAATGACATTTAGCAGATCGCGATTGTTTCCTTCGTCAGTATAATATATACCTAATCGTTACACGACGATTTGCGCGTACCTTGACAAATTCGGTGGATGGGAAAAACAAAAAACGTTCTGATGACAAAATCTAGGCTAATTATTACAGCGAAAAAAAAAAATAAACGACATCTCTTATTCTCAATCGTATCTATATAGGTAGGTTATGTATAAAACGACGAGATAATACGTCTATGGTCTATATATACGTAGTACACTCGAACTGCTGCAGCACGCAGGCTGGACTTCGGGACGTTGTCGAGTGCGCTAAAATGTTTAGCCTCCACGACGAGGATGTTGTGATGCCCGAAAACGCGGTTTTCACTCATCATTTGCAATTATCTTGGTAATTATTAATTAGCAATTTTCGTCGGATTTCCGAGGACGGACGTCATGAACGCCACATTGTTATACGGTCATTATGTTGTGCTCTTGTACTTGATACATTATTCGTACTTGGTTCATCCTCACTCGGACATAATAACTATACACTGTACGGGTACGACTACATAATATAATGCACGCAAAATACACACCATATAATATGCTTCTGCCCTTGACTTTAGTTGCGTCTGATTTTCGACTAGTTTACAATTTGACGAGGTTTCGCATGGAGTATTTCGTTGTGCTGTTGTATAGGTGTTTTCTGCAGTCTGCAATAGACGGGACTGCAACGGGAGCCGCTCTATTATCGTTTACGTAAAACTGTGCATAATGCACAATATAATATAATGACTTATAATAATTACTATTGTGGTCGGCATTTGACGTGCATATCGTATTATATAAAACATGTCACCTTTCGTTGATTTCGTGGTTTGTTTTGGACTATATAGTCGACGTAGATCACCGCAATAAATACCTACGGTATTGGTTTCTAATGGGAAATTTCCGTTTGGAAAGTATCGAAAATTATCGTGTTGACAAACCCGAAAACAGAAAAAAGAAATTTCAGGAAAAAAAGCTAACAATAATATAATTATAAGCGACAACTGAACACGCAGCCACATTGAAAACAATTAGATTGCCTATTTACCTCGATCATGGGACGGCGAGACATTAAATTAAATTTTGGGTAAGTATTAAGTATACTATATTCAGTAAATTATATAATATAAATACACAATATTCAATTTAGAAAAATAATTTTAATAGCTCTTCGAATAATATTAAACTCCATTTAAGTACCTAGTACAAATCAATTTCCTGATAGAAATCGAGTATTTAAATATTTTATTCAAGAAAATGGTTCATTTTTATAGTGGTTGTAAGTCGTAACTTAAAGTATGAAGTAAAAATATCATCGTCAAAACAATTTTTGATTGTTAAAATGTATAAATACTATATTCTATTATCATACAAAGTTCAGTTCAAATTATATATATAAGTACTAAAATATATTTATGTAACAAAAAATAAAAATATACATTTTTTCACATTTGAAAAAAATAAATAGAAGGCAATTTATTGTTAATCATTTTTTTTTTTGTTTGCTGCCCTAGAATTTTGACTCTAGTAACACCTGCAATGGTTGATCCTAATGACCAGAAAATAAACTTAATCGCTTATTATAATAAATTAGTACCTAATCGACTTAAGTGTTTACAGTAAGATTTGATCTGCAGACAAACCACAAACTTATTTGTATCTTATATAATCGAAATAATATGTATTATGTATAGTATGTTGTTTTTAATTATTAATATTATTATTATTATTACTATTATTATTACCTTATACAGTTGTCAGGATCGTTTTTGCAATCAGTATTACATCTAAATCTCTCCCACGCCAACCATCCCATCGGTGGTGTCCTGGCTAAACCGTTTTCCAGACAAAAACTGCTTGTCAGCAGTTGGAACACCGTTAAGGCTGTTATCCATTGAAAAGCTGCCATTTTATCTGCGAATACAGCAAAATTATGCACAATTAATCACATGGTTTTTTTTTGCATATTTAAAGTTGTTTACCTAATGTTTTTGCATCAAACGAGGACAATATTTTTAATATTTATAAAAGATACTTTTGAAAAATTCCTACTATCTTTATAATTTAACAGTATATTATATATATATATGTATACTAGCTGACTACGTTATATATATTATTACAAATTACAATGTTACTATACATCATAATAAATCAATCATCTTTCTTGGGAAATGTGTACTTAAATTTTAAACAAAAGTATAATAATTATAATACACTATACTATCAATACACTTATTTTATGCTACTCAATCACTCGACGACAGAACATTTTTAGTATATGTTCATAATTTCTAAATTACTAGCTGTTATATTATATAACTAATAAGTATTAAAATGTATTATAGTAATATTATTACTAATGTTTTGAGCTTTTGATACTTTAAAAATATTATGAAACAGTTCACAAATATACTTATAAAATATTCAATATAGGTAAGCAGCATAGGAATAAATTATAGAATTGCATTATAATTATTAGTATTTCATATTATGTAATAAGTTCAAAATAATTGTAAAAATAAGTTAATAAATAAAAATAATGATAATAGACGATGTTCGTATTTTAATTTATGTAATAAAATAAATACTAATTAAGTAATATATGTTCACTGAACCAATCGACCACATTCAACCGGTTATATTACATTTGAAGGTTACGAATTGATCACCAGTCAATCGTTTGAAAAAATTTTAAATTATCTTAAGCTGATATTTTATAAATAACTTTGAAATACAAATACGAAACCCGATGTTAGGACTTAAGTGTATACTCAATGGATATAAGGACGTTTGGTTATAGAACATCACAATATCGTATACCCTGAAAGTAAGTCATTTCAAAGATAGATTTCATTTCTCGGAGTTATATGTGTAACAAATGAGTACATGCTAATGGTATGAGATATTTGAATTTCGGTAAAATGTTAATACGCTCTGTTATTATATGGGTAAGCAAACCCGCTGTAAACCACAGTTTTCGTAAAAAAAAAACCGTTTCTTACTGTTCTAAAACCTAATCGACTAGCTATTGAGCTGCATCCGGTGCGAGGATATCCTTCGAAATAACGACGACGATTAGACGTGGTTTTCAGAAAAGTTGAACTAACGTGAAAATCATTTTTCCCGTGGTGACAGGTGACGACGTTTATATACAGTCGCAGCAGACACGTTTTTACTGAATATTTCCTGGATCCCATTATAATAACACGGCTAAGGAAATAATGTAAAAATCTTTTCAAAAAACCGTCGTGTAATGCAAACGTTTTCGTTAAATTGCGGTCATCGATCACGGTTTTTTTTTTTTTTTTTTGAAAATCAATGATAATAATATAAACGATACACCTGCACGAAGCAAATATAAACAAAACTCGTGTCCCCGGGGGCACCGAATGGAATAAATGTATCGAATGTCTCATTCTTAACGCTTGTCAAAGTTCCTAAGAGTGAAACTTTCTGGACCTGAAACTTTCTCTGTTTCTAGATCGGGCTCAGACGAACGCCAAGTATAATATGATATTACTCGGTATAACGCGTATATTATCGTGTGTTTCGTTTGAATTTCGGTCATTTTCACACACATCAAAGCGTATTAGTTATACCACGCGGTGCTCGCATCGTATAAATTATAATATGTATATTATTATGTATACTATGTAGGTATATATAGAATGCAACGACTCGAACGGTGCGAGCGTTAATATTCTAAAACTAGGTAATTCGTTTACAAAGGATGGTTTTTTTTTTCTAAAGCAGTGTAGTCGTACTCGATCCATGAAAACGAACGAAAATACGTATAGGTATCAGCCAAGAATTTAAATGGCCAACAATCCTCTGATCCCATAGTGGAAAATTTAACTGGCCCGGAAAATTTCATACTTTTACCCAATAAAAAAAAAAAAATGCGATAAAACTAAATTGTGTGTTTTGTATTTTGTTTAGTTAATTGAAAGCATAAAAGTAAAAAAATCAACAGTTTTTATTTTTGATCAACGCATAAAAAAACGTGTTAAGTTATGTTGAATTGGCAGAGGAAAGGGGGGTTAAATGTTTGTAGTTCGGGAGCGGAAAAGGCTAACTATGGGCTACAGGCCCATGGGATTGTATAAAATTGTAATATTTTTTTTCCTGTATAGACGGGTTTTTCGACAGAGCATTTAAATATTTCGAACAAATCGGTCGTTTTCCCGTATTTATTATAGACAGTAACCCCACATAATAAAAAAATATAATATATATTTGCACTAGTACAACGAAGACGTATATTATATTATAATAAGTACCGGCTAATATTATAATAGTTAACTATTAAATATTTATTAGTTAGTTAACTTTTTTTTTTACCATATGTCTATATTATAGTTGAATGTTACATGTTAAAAAAACGATCTATACATAATATACTACACAATATCGTAAGTATACAAATACGATAAACGATTGTACTATTGAAATTTCAGATAGATGGTGACAATGACATGAGCATCGGACGTGAGGTGGAAATCAGATAATACCTCACTCGTCGTTGTCGTTCATGTATTTTAATAGATATAGATCGCGATTCGAGTTGCCCTCAAGTCGGCTGCAGGGTGCAGCAGGGTTGTCAGGATAAGGGCAATGTCAAAAGAGACGTCATGACGTGTGGAATGAAAGGGTTAGGAAATCAATCTATACATTACAGCAATACGATACAATATAGTTTATTGGAACTTTACTGTCGTGTAAGACGTTGGCTTGCGGGGGGTGGTGTAAACTGCATAAAAATGTACATGCCCATTAACGTATTGGTAAGATTTTTACCTGACGCGAGTTCGTGCGGAGAAGTCGTCGGCTATCGCTGCGCTCCTCTTGCAGACGTGCAACAGTTCTATAGGACGTGTACGGTTTTTCGAGTAGGTATAGTGTCCAAGTTCAACCGCTCATGTCAGCCAGATGAAAAGTTTTGGAATGTCTTCGGTGGTCGGCCGGCACTCCAGGGTTCCGCATATATCGAGGACGTTATAAATAATTGTTATAACACCGATCACTGCAGTAATTCGACCGTGTTCACGCACATCGTCTTCCGGCGTCGTCAGTGTCCACTCCGTATATGTCGTGACGGTGATATTCCTATCGCGGTGGTATACGACTCGATGGTACAGTGTTGTTATTGTGTCACCGCCGGTTTTTCCACGATCGAATTTCGATTCTATAATGTTACGGTTTTTTTTTTAAATGTTATTATTATATTATTACGGAGAGAGACGTCTGACGGCGTGTGTGCTTTCGCGACGACTGTCGTGTCGGTTTGCAACGAGCTGATGTGATGCGTGCGGCGGCGGCGGCGGCTGCGGCGCGCGCGCGTTCGCCGGACTGGTTCGAGGACCCGCTCGGCGGGGGGAGACGAACCTCCGCGACCGCCACCGCATCATCGGAGATGAGTTTTCTGGGCGAAAATTCCTAAAAACCAAAGTCCTTGGACAATCCCACAATTTTTTTTTTTGCATCCTCCAACACGCGGGTTTTTTTTTTAATTTTAAGCACCAACGCCGTTCACCGGCGACGACGACGACCGGTTTTCCATTTTTATAATCCGCGCTCTCGAGAAGAGGATATTATACTTTTAATGTGTCGAAAATAAGAAAGAAAAAAATGCATTCCCGTCCCGACGAACTATATAATGAGTAATAACTTAATCGCATCTCAGCTGGCGTAGGTAAATGTGCATAATAATATATACAAGGTGTAACAGAAAGAACTGACCAAAAAAAAAAAAAAATTGATCTTACTTAAAAGTATGACAAAAATTGTTGAAGTCATATGATTAATAAATTGTTTTAAGAATATACCCATGTTATAAAATTTCCAAAAATAATATTTTTAAGAAAGCTATATTGGGTTCCAAATATTGATTTAATCAAAAACATACCTATTGATGTTTTAAAAAATTCTAAAAAATAAACTACTAGACTTAGATAAATGTTTTTACCATCCAAATCGTTCTTAAAATCAGATTCACAAATTTGCTATTTTGAATTTATTCAAAAAAATTTGAGTCAAATTTAATTTTTTTTATTTTCAGCAGTAAAAAATAAAAATAATTTTTTTTTCCTCTTACACGTGTAGCGCAAGCGGCTATAAATTATAAATCTACAAAAAAAAATTCAAAATAATGATCAGAACAAAAGTTATTCCAAAAGTCAGTTCTTTCTGTTACACCCTGTATACACACAAATATAATATTATAGGTAGGTAGGTTATAACTTATATTGTAGGTACTTACTTGATATTGGTGTGTAACGTGTACATATATGTTTTGCGCAAGGGTACTCAATCTATATAGTCACAAATCGTAGTTATGTGTATATAATGTATATTATATTTTATGCCTTTCTCGCAAACACGACTGCTCAGACGTATATCCTTGGATTTTAAATTTTAAATTGCTATGATTACACGTTTTTTTATTTATTTTTTTTATTAATGCGCGTAAATTACTCATTGCTCTTATACAGATATACGACATATATATATATATATATATATTATATTTATTGTGAGTTTAACCGTACGAGTTGTCATTAGCCGGAAAACAATCATTTCGTTTCGCCTACCCCGAAGCGACGACTATATAGAGATCGTGTGTTATACTTGTATTTTCGTTCAATAAAATATACAATATCATCCCATCGTTAATATTATGCTATGCAGTGTGTGTGCTCTTCGCCTGTTATTACTCTATAAGTAGTCTACCTACACGGCCAGCCCAAACCGATCGCAAGTATACTTTTTGAAACGTATGGTTTCTTTAAAAAACCGCCTCTAATTATTATTATACCTACGTGTGGTTGTCATATGAGCGTGAATAATAATGCAAAAAACGAAAATGACAAACTTCGCTATTTTTTTTTCTATTTATATTATTTGACA